AGAGAGTCTCAAAAATAGCACACAACCAAGGATGCTCCTGGTGGGAAATGAAATCTCAAGGTCAATTGATGAAACCATGATCGGAAGCATAAAATCCAAAATTAAGGATTTATCAAGCGAGTTCTGGTAATCTAACGTCCCGAACACATTATAATTGCTATTATTATAAGTTGGGGAAGTTAGATCCGCAGGATTGACTGGATAAATGTACTAATTTTGGGTTTTTTATGTTTTCGTGCATGGGCTGATCAGTTGACCTTGAGATTACATTTCTCACTCGAAAAAATCCTTGATTGTTATTGATTGATGTATTATTTTGGTACTCTATTTTTTTGGCTCTCCCAAGGATGTTTCTATGATGTATAAATAAACTCGATTTGTGTGCTTTTGAACCTGATATTTTCTGGGCGCTTGTAAAATACACTTTCTATTACTTATCAAGACTTCTTGATATAGTCAGCTGGAAGGCCGTCCTGTCCTCTTCATGTATACAACTCCTGCTACTCGCTGGATTCGAACCCATGACATTCAGTCGCACGCGTGGACGCTTAACCTCTGGACCAGTGAAATTCAACCCTGTTGGTTGTAGGCAGTAACTGCCAAAGACAAATGGGTGATATTGCTCACAATTCTTAGATTGATCAATGAATGTTAGACATTGACATTATTGGATGCTGACCAGCTCAATGATCCAGAGATTAGGTTTTCGCACACAAGACCGAAGGTCATGGGTTCGAATCCTGCGGGAGGCAGGAGTCGTGGATGCACACTGATGAGTCCCATCGCTTAATTTCATAATCAGAGACGTTGCCACTAGGCTATTTATTCAGTTTATGACTACAGTTCTTTAGTGTAATGAAGGGATAGAATTCATTAGAGAGTAAAACTCCTGTAAAGATTTTAAGTATATCTTACTAATGAGTAGTACCAGATGGTACGAAATCTAGTGGCTCCATGGTTTCGTATCAACTAGTTTAAATCACCACTTCACTTCCCAATATACTAGTGAACATGGTATTGAGTCATTTTCTAACTATACACTACAACTTGATCCCGACCGTAGCTGCTATCTTGAGGTGGTGGCTGGGTTTGCCTATCATGATGACCCAACCGGTGACACTAAAAACATCTACTCAAAGTCTGAGGGCGACATCGTACTGCTGACTGTAGAGGGGTGTAACAGTGTTAAGGTGACACCCTCGGAAAACCAGCATCTGCAGCGATGCTGCCTTCTCACTCGGAAGGAAGGGGTTAGAAGCGGTCGACTCTAAAAATGTCACACCTCACCTTACGTCATGGATCCCCGTCTCTGGCGGTAAGGCTTTTAAACAAGAGCGGAGCTAATACTTTAAAAACTTCTCATAAAATGACCGTGTATGACTGGCTTGATTGAAGTAGTTGTCCCTTGGGTTCTGCGGTACCGCTCCCAGGTCTTTAAGACCAATGCTAATCTACCTTCCTTTTCAGGTTCCACTGACTAACTGACTACAACTTGATCCATAGAATTCGGTTAGTATTGATATATACATGATACTGATCACAGTACTCATCGATTAATAAATTATCAATAGATTGAATTACTGTAGCTAACTTATATAACTAAATCAAGGGAGTTGTATATCTAATCCTTCATTTTCTTAAAATAAACCTTCGGTGGCTGATTTGAGCTTACTACTAGGCTTACTACTTTGGCAGTCCGTGATTTTCTTTGGATGAAATAAATCTCCCCTTCATTTTTCGTATATTATAATCGTTAAGCGAACATCCTTTATACGACTATGGTAATCGGAAAGTGAATACAGATACGCTTGAATAAGTTTTTATTTCAGGCAATCGTTTGTTCAGACAAACATCAGAAGCATAAAAGCAGAGCAAAGCGAAACGAAGTGGAAAAGAATGCAATGAGGCATAACTATGTGTACTTATAGTCAGACAAAAATATAAGTTAGACATGCGATTAGTGACGTAAGCAATGCACAAACACATTCAAACAAAACAACCAAGGCTATACACAATATATAAGCCAATAAATAAGAGATAAAGTCGAAAAACGTACAAGTGATGAGTCGGAAAGAAAAAGGTTGTTGATTAGTTTGTCCAAAACATCCAGAACAAGTCAGCAAGGCAATAACATATTGGTACGTACACACATTAAATACGCTCCTCCAAACTTGTTAGGATATTCATTCAAAATAGCCTAAGAGAATGATTGGTCAATGCCTATTGGTTAATTTTTCTACTGGTCAATTTTATGGTCGTCCTAGATATCAGTGTCATGTGCTCCACTGTTGTTTCTTTGTTGGGGATGTTAGATCCCCAAAACTCGCTTGGTAAATGCCTTATTTTGGATTTCACGTTTGCCAGCATGGCCTGATCAGTTGACCTTGAGATTTCATTTCCCACCAAGAAAATCCATGGCTGTGATTGACTGCTGTGTATTGTAGTGTGCTATTTTTGTGACTGTCCCAAGGAAGTTTCTATGATGTATAAATAAACGAGAGTTGTATGCTTGATTGTATAGTGTGATTGCTGGGTGTTTGTAGAATATACTTTCTACGCCATATCAAGACTTCTGTTTTGCAGTTTGGGATTGAAGGTAGCCTACCTGGACGCTGGTAATTGCCTCGTTCGCGTTTATCGACTAAGGTGAACTCGTAATAACCTCAAGCATACCTAGTGACGAAGCTTACACTTCTACTCTTTCATTTTTTGGTGGCTAACTGGTATATGAATTCATCAACATCTCAGAGAAAGGATGGAATAAAATGGGAGGCTCGGACAGAGCTGGCTGATCTGCACGTGCAGGATAACCTAGCTCTTCTATCTCAAATACAACAACAAATGTTGGAGAAGACGACCAGTGAAGCATCAGCCTCTGCAAAGGTAGGTCTCAATATACACAAGGAAAAATCAAGACCTTTGGGTACAACACAATATGCTCCAATCAAATCACACTTGACGGAGAAGCTTTGGAGCATGTAGAAACCTTTACATATCTGGGTAGCATCATTGATGAACGATATGTATCTGATGCATATGTAAAGACATGGATATGTGAAGGAAGGGCTGTATTTATGTAATCGAAGAACATCTGGAACTCAAAACAACTATATTGTCAGCCGAAACCCAAGTCACAATATTCAATACAAATGTCAAGAGAGGTGGAAACTTGGAGAATTACAAAAACCGTCACCCAAACGATACAAGTATCTAATGACAGTTATCTACACCAGAAATTGAGGATCGGTTGACCAGAAACTATCACCAACAACCTTCTGTGTGAGATAACAGACCAGATCCCAAATGATGCAGAAATTAAGAAAGACTAGTAGTGTGCAGAATAAACACTGCAGAAATCTACCAACTGCGTCACAATGTGATACCTCACTTAGAATCCTCAAAGTCAGTGGAAAAGAGGGCAAACAAAGAAATGATAACGTCGAGAACTGGAAATAGGCATGAAAGAAATGAATAGCGATTGGGTAGAACCGAAAAAGAAGGCTTAGGACAGAGTTGGTTGAAGAATGTTGGCAAACGGCCGTAAGCCCCATTCAGGGTAAGTAAGTAAGTAAGTAAGCAGATTACTGTTAATGACAAACACAGCAATCAACACTTATGTTTAGGATAAATAATTTAGGATTAGTGCATAACAGACTAATCAGGATGCCTAATTTCAATTTTCAATCATTATTCTGATGTAATCAAATGCCATATATCAAAATTGTAAAGTTAATTTTAAGTTTTAAACAATTCATCCTGAAATTAACAAGAAAAACGCAATCACTACGTTTTAATCCTTAATTTAAACATTCAATTTTCAATTCTAATCATGAATTTTACAGCCTAATAATTATCATGGAAAGTATGTTGTGAAGGAGTACAGAGATGGGGCAACCGGATTGTATTTAACGAAAATTACAGTTACTCATAAATCGTTCATTTGCAAAACATCAATCCATTGTCACTATTCATGCGTTTCATACAAATTCCATTGTGTTCTAACTCTTCCTTTCTTGATCTTCCCCACATCTTCTGCTGCCAGAGATTACGTTGACACTCACGTCATATACTACTTATAAGTAGCTCGCACCTCAAGTATAATTTGTTTGAATTCTAAACTCTAAAATTAATCATAGTTTCTCCACAAGCTGATTGAGGTATCCATGTCTCCCGGCAAAATATTGATTAAATCCAGTTATGAATTCAGAAATCTCTATTGGAGGCCTCTAAACACAACACAAGGTGTCTATTAGGTAAATCAAATCATAACAGACTATAATTTTTGAATCGATTCATCTATGATGACAGTAGGATATTGTCTATGAAAGTGGAAGCCATATGTGTACACAATATGGAATCAACCAGTGATCAGTGTTGACATTAGATATAGGGTAATAAATGCGAGCCCAGTGGTTCAGAGATTAGGCATTCGTGCACAAGACTGAAGGTCCAGGGTTCGAATCCTGTGAGGTGTAGGAGTCGTGGATGCGCACTGGTACCTATGAGTCTCATACCAGGACGAAACGGCCATCCAGTGCTTGTGGGTTTCTAATGGTGGTCTAACAATGATTGATTGATGATTTCGGATGTGTAAAAAAAATGGTAGGTCAGTCGGTGCGCTGAATCTTCATCGACTGAACGAAGTGAGTACGCCTAGCCAATACCTGTTGTTCACACACGCTAGATGAAAACTAGGAGCATTCTAAACCCCTATATTGGGTGAAAATAAGAAGACAAGACTTAATATGAAGTAGAACGTGTATTCTACAAGCATCCAGAAAGTACTAGGTCAGAATCCAGAAGAGAATCAGGATCGCGGACTAGGGATCCGGGACCGGGTCCTGGTCATGGTCATAAAACGTTACAGATAATGCGTAGTTATAACTTTTGGTCGAATAGGGAAACGAGCATCGAAGGCTGTGACATGTGACGTTAAGACGGACCAAGTAGGAAGTAACATTTGAAAGTGGCCCTTGATAGTCAGGTACAACCCAATAAGAAAGAACACATTTGAAATGACATTGACATTTCGGATGACCAATAAGAGACAATATTGAAGTATTTGACTTGGACAGTTAAAAAGACCACAATTTTGACCAATAGAAATCGACCAATAGTATTTGACCAATAATTCTCTTAGGATATTGGATGAACATCCTAACATAGGACGAAACGGCCGTCCATTGCTTGAAAGTTTATAGTGCTAGTTTAATATTGATCATTTCAACATTTCAATGAAATTCTCAACAATCTTCACAATCCTATAATGAAAGTTGTCTAATTGTTTATCCAGTTTATGATCTAAATTAGTTTAATATTACTAAGTACTATATATATATTTTTTAAGAAAAATTTATTTTGATTAATAACAACTTACTAAATTTCTACATCGATTTGGCCATAAATATAATGAATGTGAAAAAGATGAATATTTACAGAGAAAATTCCATGCATGCTCATAATTGCCTTGATATAATAGAAATATTGTAGCTACAAACCAATCGAATGGTTCATCTAAAAATCGAAAAAAAGTATGAAAAATTCAAAACATAACAGAAATTAAGTAGATGAGAAAATCATAACTTTAACTGAAGAAAAAAATATTGAAGAACATTTAACACTGAATTCGATGAGATGGTGGAGAAAAAACTTGTAGCTCGACTGGATTATGAAGACGTCGACGTCTGGAGGGAAGCACGGTATCAACTGGACAGTTTGGACGCAGCTGGACGATCTGGACTTCTCAGATGACCTGGCTCTTCTATCGCACACGCAACAGCAAATGCAAGAGAAGACGACTAGTGTAGCAGCAGCCTCTGCAGCAGTAGGTCTCAACATACATAAAGGAAAAAGCAAAATTCTCCCCTGCAACACGACATGCACCAACCAAATCACTCTTGATGGATATGCCTTGGAGGACGTTAACACCTTTACATATCTGGGCAACATCATCGACAACCAAGGTGGATCCGATGTAGATGTGAGGGCACGGATTGGCAAAGCAAGGGCTGTATTATTACAGTTGAAAAATATCTGCAATTCAAAACAACTTTCAACCAAAACCAAAATCAGGATATTCAATACAAATGTCAAGACAGTTCTACTGTACGGAGCGGAAACTTGCAGAACTACAAAAGCCATCATCCAGAAGATACAAGTGTTTATTAACAGCTGTCTACGAAAAATACTTCGTATTCGTTGACCACACACCATCAGCAACAACGTACTGTGGGAGAGAACAAACCAGATTCCAGTGGAGGAGGAAATCAGGAAGAAGCGGTGGAGTTGGTGGATTGAACACACACTGAGAAAAGCACCTAACGGCGTCACGAGACATGCCCTCACATGGAACCCTCAAGGTAAAAGGAAAAGAGGAAGGTCAAGGAACACATTACATCAAGAAATAGGGAAAGATATGAGAAGAATGAACAAAATTTGGACAGGACTGGAGAGGGAAGCCCAGTACAGAGTTGGTTGGAGAAAACTGGTGGTGGTGGCCTATGCTCGATTGGGGGTAACAGGTGTAAGTAAGTTAGTAAATCACTTCACTTCTACAATCTACAAGTTTGTGCTGCTGATGATGTTGTTGTTCAGCAGAAGAACAAGAATGAAAGCTTCACAACCAAAATAACATCCAGCTCAGTGAAACGAAACACCATTACAAAAACACTGAATTTGATTGTTTATAAACAGATCTATCTAATCCAGTGGAGTGTGTGTTTTACGTCTAATTCGGTTAAGCTGCCTCATTACGTATGGCTAACCATCGACTGCCTTGTGTAGGAGTAGGTTGGAAGGAAAGCTAGGGGCGGCCAAACCGAAACATGGCAGAAATGTATAAAGTCACCTGGTTGAGGTCCGCGAGACGAAAGTCACCAATGGTTAGAGACCTTGAACAACATGGCTCAAAATCGTTTGCAATGGCGCATCCATTCTTTGAGTTCTCTATAATTTTAACCTTCTGAATTCCTCATCATATTTACCTTTCTCTAAATTTATCTCACTGAATTATACTTTTCGAATCATATCTTCGCTCCCAAATCTTCACCATTACTGCTAATACTTCTACTATCACTATCACTCTTGGATTTGAACTGACAATTTCGTCTCTGTGCTGTGTACATACGTACGAAGTTCTGCGTTGTATCTGTCTGTCTTAACTCTATTGAGGACGTTAGATTCCCAGATGTCACCAGGAAAAGGTTCTCATTTTTTAATTGGCTTTTACCAAGCTGCGTTAATTATGGAGTAGGCGAGATATCCGTTTGCTGAAACATGGCCAGTGAGAGTAGAAGATATTCGTAGGTTACTGGTTTTCGATCATAGGTGTCTTAGAAGCATTGCTCGTATATCGTGGGACACACGAGTGAGCAATGCTGTTATTAGGAAGCGGGTGCTAGGTAAGAATGACAGATCAATAGATGAAGTCATGAAACTTCATCAGTTGAGGTGGTTCGGACATGTGCTGAATATGCCTAACTACTAACTGCCTCGACGAGCTTTGTTTTGTAGTGTAGGAGTAGGTTGGAAGAAAGTTAGGGGTGGCCAAACCAAAACATGGCACAAATCCATGAAGTCATTGACGAGTGGACTTAGCCATGTCGGTAATTGTCGACTACCTGGTTGGGGTCCGCGAGATGATAATAATCGATGGCTAGAGACCTTGAATGACATGGCTCAAAATCGTTCGCAATGGCGCTGGTGCATTTATGCTTTGTGTTCTCTCAAATCCTAATCTTCTGGATTCTTCAACACCTCTAGTTTTGTCTTTCTAAGCTTATCTCACTGAATCATACTTCTTGAATAATATATCTTCTAATCCTAAGCTCTCCGACTACTTCTAACACCTTTACTACCTCTACTACTATTGGATTTGAATTGACAATTACATCTGTATGTGCTAACGTGTTACGGCAACATGAACTGATGTACTTACGTACGAAAGTCTACGTTGCATCTGTCTGTCTGTCATTTTGTAATTGATATCTGAAATTTTGAATTTCTATGTTTTCGCGCCAAGAGCCGCCTAGTTGACCTTCAGCTTATATTTTCCACTCGGAAAATCCCTGACTGTCATTGGTTGATGGATTATTTAAGTACGCTATTTTGTGGTTCTCACCAAGGGCGTTTTATCATTGTATAAATAAGCTTGAGTTGTGTGCTTGTGGACCTTGAACTTTCTAGGCTTTTTCCTTTAATTAGGGTGCCTGCGACAATCGGATTAGAATAGCAGCCTATCGTGTCGTTGCATCGTTAATCTTCGTTTCGTTTACCGAGTAAGGTGAACTTGTACTAGCTGCAAGCATATCATTAGCTTATTCAACAGACAGTGTCATATTGTACAGCTATAAATTATCTGTACTATTGTACTTTAATTATTCTTAACCTTGTCCGTATGTGCATGTAGGTTTGAGCATTGCTTATCGCCTATATGCAGATTTATTCAACTCGTTTTATTGTCAGTCGCTTAAATAAATAGTCCTATTCAGAACGTTATCAGAACAAGCGGTTTGGGAAGTTTAAGAATGATTTCGAATATCCACCTTCACTATGGGTCAGTGAATTTCGCGTATTCAAATAAAAGCAGTTGCTTAGTGTTTCTTAACTAGATGATCAGAGTTCAATTAAATACGGAACATTTTGATCAAGTAGTTTATATGAATGATTTATAAAATTTAAACAATGTACAGTTTCAAATTTGACCAAAATTCCTCATCAGCTTATTAATATCGATATAAGTTTGAAAGTAAAATAGGGACTTCTCTATTCGATTTCGATAGACAGTTTCTTCTGGTGGAGGTTTCTGCATTGAACTCGATGCTGATCAGCGTTTTCCAACCTACTGTTGGAAATGTTAGATCCCCAGAACTGTCGCTTGATAAATATCGTTATTTTGGATTTATTTCATAGACCGATCAGTTGACCTTGAGATCACATTTCTTACCAGGAAAATCATTAGCTGTGATTGGTTACTGTGTCATTTTAGTGTGCTATTGTTGTGACTGTCCAAATGACGTCTCTATGATGTATAAATAAACGCAATTTGAGTGGTTGGTTTCATTGTATGCTGGCTGGGTGTTTGTAGGATATAATTTCTACGCTATATCAAGACTTCTCGCTGATACAATTTGGTCAAGGGATCCGAGTAGCCTACCTGGACGCTGGTTCGTTGTTTTGTTCTCGTTATTCGACTAAGGTGAAGTCGTAATAGTTTAAGCGTACCTAGAGACGAGCGTAACACCTGCTCTGTCCTCCGGCTTCCTTTCTAGTTCTATCTAACTGTTGTTCATTCTTTTTTCATGTCTGTCTCCATTTATCGGCTTAATGTGTTGTTTGGTCTTCCGCTTTTATTTGACTGTGAGGATTTCAAGTGAGGGCTTGCGTTGTGATACAGTTGGGTGCCTTCCTCAGTATGTCTCCAATCGACTTCTAGCTCTTATTCCTGATTTCTTCATTCTCTGGAATCTAATTTTTTCTCTCCCACAGTAGGTTGTTATTAACAATGTCTGGCCAGCGAATCCAAAGTATTCTGTATATACAACTGATGATAAATACTTCTAACCTCTGGATGATGGCTTTTGTGGTTCTCCAAGTTTCTGCCCCTATGTATTTAGAACTGTCTTGGCATTTGTATTGAAAACTGTAACCTTCGGTATTGGTTGACAGAGTTGCAAAGTTTAATCAATTAAAGAAATGATACGCCTGCTTTGCTAATCCATGTCTTTACATCTACATCAGATCTAGTTCGTTCATGAATGATACCGCTCAGGTGTATAAAGCTTTCTACATCCTTCAAAGCTTCTCATCATATTTATCACTCTCATCGACCGGATATACTTATATCCCAATGTTATTACTAACACTGAGACTCGAGCTCAGTACTATTGGGCTTTAAATACCAATATCCAGCAATGAACGATAATTTCTCCAGTAAAAATCACATTCTTACATTCATTAATTCTTATCTACTTTTATTTTAGGAAAAAATTCATTTCGTTTATGAATACAATGAAAACAAACCTTGAAAATATTTTTGATGATTATTAGGCAGTTGTTGTTTCTCTTTCTCAAAAGCTAAACGAATTGTACAAAGTAATGTATGAAATTGTTTTGAATAAAATTCATATTGTTCTGTATAAATGATTAGTTCCTTTGTATTGGTTGTAGGTGGCAATGAACCATTTCGTAGACCATAACTAAAAAAAAGTATACAACAACAAATAGATATACGCATTATGAGGTTGTGGAGATTGTATCGATCAATATCAGATCACCATTAGGAACTTGGAAGCACTGGACGGCCTTTTCGCCCTGTTATGGGACTCATTAGTGGCAGTGCGCATCTACGACTCCTGCACGTCGTAGGATTCGAGCTGAGGACTTTCGGATGTGAGGAATGCTAACCGAAGACAGTGAATTAATCGAAGTTAGACATTTACACTGTTAAATACGCGATCGATGATCCAGAGGTTAAGCGTTCGCTCACAAGACCTTAGATTCTGGTTCGAGTTCTACAAGGTTCAGGAGTCGCTGATGTGCACTGCTGTTTATCAGCCCCATACCAGAACAAAACGGCTATCTAGTGCTTCCCGATTTCTAATGGCAATCTAACATTGATCGACAGATGATTTCGAAAAATCTTAGATGCATATAAAGCCATAAAACTGCTGGATCTCAGTTCACGTTCATCCTTATCATTTGAATAATGAAAATACCGCAGTCGCAGAAACAAGAAAACTTATCAGGTGAGGTGGTTGAGAAAACCATCTACTTGCCACCTACCTCGAAATGCAACATTTGTCAGTTTTACTAATTATTTCTAATAAAGGATTGTACAGAGTTTTGAGTTTCATTGAAATCATGAATCCACCAATGATAAGCAACCATTAGAAACCCACAAGCACTGAATAGTCGTTTCTCTCAGGTATCAGACTCATTAGCAGTGTGCATCCACGACCCCGCTATGCGCTGAAATCTAACCCGGTCTCACAAGTGAACGCTTGACCTTCAGATTGATGAGTTCTATACTGGTGTAGTGAAGGAGTACACAGGTGGGGCAACCGGATTGTATTTAACGAAAATTACAGAGTTACTCAGTAAAATCGGAAAACTATATCGTAAATCGTTCATTTGCAAAATATCAGTTCATCATATCGAACTGGACTGTTCCTGTTGCAAAACATCAATCCATTGTCACTATTCATGCGTTTCATACAAATTCCATTGTGTTCCCAACTCTTCCTTTCTTGATCTTCCCCCATCTTCTTCTGCAACCAGAGATTACGTTGACACTCACGTCATATACTACTTATAAGTAGCTCACACCACACTAGGACGAAACCGACTACTCAATGCTTACAGATTTCTTATGGTGATCTCGCACTGATTGATTCATGATTTCAATGAAACTGATGGAGTATCAATCGTTTTCTTTGAATTTTAAAAACTTGTTACAAATCGTGTACAAAAAATAGTCTGAACATTATGGTTAAAAGTTTTTTTTTCCAATTACCGTATTGTCCAATCGATAGCGATTTCATCCATTTTCGAAAGAGTGAACCGATTTATCTCATCATTGTTAGCTATAAAATGAAAGTTGAATACAAAAAATAAAAACGCAAGAGAATTAAGTATACTATGTGAGGTTATTTTTATTTGTCAAACTTAGTTATATTGTGGTGCGCGCTACTTATAAGTAGTATATGACGCGAGTGTAAACGTAATGTCTGGCAGCAGAAGATGGGGGAAGATCAAGAGAAAGGAAGAAGAGCGGGAACACAATGGAATTTGTGTATGAAACGCATTAATAGTGAAATGTCAGACAATGGATTGATGATGGATTGAAGATTTGCAAATTAACCGTTTACGATATGGTTTTCCTATTTTACTGAGTAACTCTGTAATTTTCGTTAAATACAATTCGGTTGCCCTCACCCGTGTTCTCCTTCACTACACTGCTAGTGAAATGTACAAATATATCTATTCAAATCTTCAAAACGAATAACATTTTATTACTTATATATACATTAAAACACGTAATGAAATCCACCAATGAAAATTTGTTTAGTATGATAATACTATGTCAAACTCTGACTCAGTCATCTAAAGGTTAAAAGCATTTGCACGCAAGACTGAACAAGGTTCGATCCCTAAAATGTTGAGGTCGTTAGTGTGCCCTGCTGCCACTAATAAGTCCCACACTAAAATTAAACACTCGTTCAATGTTTCCAATGGTAGTCTATCATTGACAGACCGATTCATATTTTCAATATAAATTAACAACAATTCTCAGAAATTACCTTTTTCCAATGATTGAAGGCGTGAATTCGATTCACCACTGATATAATTCATTGTTAGTAAACATTGATTTAATAGATTTCCAGTGACTAGATTGAAAGAAAAAAAAACAATTGTAGAAACTTTACACTTCATACTTACTAGTTTCTTTCTTGTTAGAGTAAGAATAATCAGTCAGTCAGATGCAACGTAGAACTTCGTACGTAAGTACGTACATCAGCACAGAGATGTAATTGTCAATTCAAATCCCATAGTAGTAGAGGTATTAAAGGTATTAAAAGTAGTCGGACAGGTTAGGATTAGAAGATATTATTCAAGAAGTATAATTCAGTGAGATAAGATTAGAAAGACTCAAGTAGAGGTGTTGAAGAATCCAGAAGATTAGGATTTGAGAGAACACACAGAATAAATGCATTCGCGCCATTGCAAACAATTTTGAGCCATGTCATTCAAGGTCCCTAACCATTGACTATTATCATCTCGCAGACCCCAACCAGGTAGTCGACAATTACCGACATGACTCAGTCCACTCGTCAATGACTTCATGGATTTGTGCCATGTTTTGGTTTGGCTACACCTAGCTTCCTTCCAACCTATTCCTACACCACAAAACAAAGCTCATCGAGGCAGTCGGTGGTTAGGTATACTCAGCACATGTCCCAACCACCTCAACTGATGAAGTTTCATTATTTCATCTATTGATCTGCCATTCTTACCTAGCACCTGTTTCCTAATAACAGCGTTGCTCACTCGGGTGTCCCAGGATATACAAGCAATGCTTCGAAGACACTTATGATCGAAAACCAGTAACCTACGAATATCTTTTACCCTCACTGGCCATGTTTCACAGCCATAAAATAAGACGGAGCGAACTACTGCACAACACACTCGTCCTTTAGTCAGCAAACGGATATTTCGCCAACGCCATAAGTGACACAGGTTGGCAAAAGTCAATCAAGCCTTCTGTATCCGAGCTGAGATTTCGTCAGTCACCAGGCCATCGGCACTGATGAGAATCCCAAGATAAGTGAAGCGGTCTACACGTTCGAATACTTTACTCCCTACCACTAGTTGACATTTTGCATTTCGAGGGGCGATTCCGCATTCCGAACACGCTTGTGTTGTTGCTTAGGCTGGTCAGTAGACTCGGCATTTTATCATCATCTTCATCATTATTCTTATTTCATAATAAGAATAATGATCTTGACTGGTCTTAATCACTCCACAGTTCATCTTTTGTTTTCGCTAAAAAATATGGCACCGATAGCTAAAATTATTTAGTTGGACGTTACAATCTTCTCCTCAATGCTTTTATTCCGTAAAGTTTCATCTAATTTGGAATAAAGCAAGTTTCATTAAAGTATTAGTAGTCAGTCAATTACGACGTAGAACTTCGTACGTACGTACATCAGTTCAAGTTGCCATACTAAATTAGCACGGAGATGCTATTGCCAATTCAAATCCAATAGGAGTAAAGGTAGTAGAAGCATTAGCGGTAATGAAGAAGATTAGGGTTCGAAGAAATTATCGAAGAAGTAGAATATAGTGAAATGAACTTAAAAAGAGAAAGATAAAGGTGATGATGAATTCAGAAGATTACGATTTCAGAGAACACAAGGAATGGATGCAACTAAGCCATTCCAAACGGTTTTGAGTCATGTCATTCAAGGTATCTAGCCATCGGTTACTGTCATCTACACCTACCACCATGACTCAGTCCAGTTGTCAGTGACTTCGTGGATTTCTGCCATGTTTTGATTTGGCCACCCCCAAAGTCACAAGACATAAGTAGTCGGTGGTTAGGCATACGTAACACTTGTCCTAACCACCTCAACTGTTGAAGTTTCAATACTTCATTTATTTATCTGCCATTCTTACCTAACAACAGCATTGTTTACTCGGTGGTCCCAGAATGCACAAGCAATGCTTTGGATAAACCAATGACTGAAACCAGTAACCTACGAATATCTTCTACTCTGTTTCACTGCCCTAAAGTAGGACAGAGTGAACTACTGCGCGATACACTCTTCCTTTGGTTAGCAGCAATACACTCCTCCTTTAGCCTTTCTAGAGTTGTTGCTGCCGCTCCCAAGGGGAAGGGATGGGCATATGGTTAGCATCTGTTTGTATCTTTTATTATTTCTAGTAATGATTTGAAAAATTTCTAGTGTAAGCATTGAATTACTAAGTTTTTATCGATTGAATTCAAAGCTTTTCTCAATCATTTCCGTCTGGATATTTACATATTAACGTTAGTTAGAAGCATATAAACCAAGAGAAAGCCTTAGTCCATGAAGTCATTCATGTTTAGACTGAAACAGTATAGATAATTCTTAAATTAATTAGTCGAAATTCTTGTAAACATCTCCTATAAATGATCTGATCCTGGGTTTAGGGTGATCAAGAATGCTCTAACTCTAGCAAGGTCACTATTTCACCTCACTTAGTTGAAACCTGCTACGAACCATAATCAGGTGGGCTGTGCGGTGTAACTTTTGTCATCCAGTAAGGCGGCATCACGCTTACATCCTTCTGGAGCTCCTCTTGGATTACGGTTGGTTCTAAGCTCAAGGGAGAATGTGGATTGAAGCTGTCAACTCCAGCTTGTAAACCTAACCTCATTAGAAAATGGTAGTCAGAAAAAAATCATTTTGATAATACATAATAAACTTTCCAAACTACTTCTAAATACTCTTCGATAGCTTTCTTTTGTCTCATTAACCGTAACTCCTGGAATTATTCTACTGTTAAACATTCAAGACTAATAATTGCGATCACCCCTGCCCCGTACGGGAACGCACATATTGTCTAGTGTGGTCTGCGGACATGTGGACATCCAAAGCGCGCAAACGAACAGTGGCCTCTGTTCTGGCACTTATGAATCAACAAGATCCCTCCAATCAATCCACTACCCACAATCCCCAATCGGCAAAGGGCGGCAAGACGGGCTTTCCCAGCTAGACCTGGCACCCCAAAGCGGATTATTGAGCCACCCAGCAGTGCACTAACCAACAGCCGCTCCAATCGTCTGGCCTCTAACTGCATTGCGCTGATTAAATGCATCTCGGTGTATTGTGTCAACTGGCGTTGAGGTCCCCTTAAACAAGGGTCTCCAGTTGGGTTATGTGATCCAGTGCTGAAAGGATACTGGACGCCAATGATGTCGGCCCACTTATGTAGTAGGATTAACCCTGCTTGGCTGAGTGCTTGCTCTTCCTCACGACGTCTACCCCGTCGGAGGTTGTACGTTCCGGCTGACTCTGTGGGACAAACTCGATCTTCAACTTTATGTGGAGTTTGGGGCTCCGATCGGGAGTGTTTGGGACAACCACATAGGGTCGGCGTCAGCAGTCTAGGATCTTTCGAGCAGCTTCCACAAACAAATCGTCTAGGGCCGCCTTCAAGTATCCTGGAAAGCTATATCCCATTATTTCAAATTTACCTACGCTCAGTGGACGGGATTGAGACTAAAAGACGTTCGGTCCTAATCCCTCAAAGTGGCAAAACCGCATCCACGGCCTTGGGAACATGAGCACGTACCATTATTCTATGCCTTGCTAGGCACAGAATCCTAAGCGTTCGGAACAGCTTTCAGCCGCAGCTCTGTAAACAACGTCACGTTGCCTTGGAGGACCACGAAGAGGTAGCCGCCACCACAACCCCCAAAAGGCTCCATTTATGCGAGTCACCCATTCAATTAGATGGCAAGGCATTTGGCTACCTTACGATAGTCATAGCTACTCCCGCATACAATGTTTTATGTTCTACAAAATTGGTTTCTTGTTTACTGTCCTCAGAACTCTCTCTCTTGGCTATCAACTTTTATAAATGTGCCTATTCCGAAATATACAACTCTCTTACCGTTTTTGACATTAATTAATTCACTACTTAATTAATTACTAAAAGTAATATCTGTCCAATGGAAGTTAGTACCTGAAGAGAAACCTCTAATTCATCAGTTCATTCACAGAACTCGATAATAGTCATTATGAAGTACTGACTGGTGATTAACATGGAAAAGTAATCAGCGGAGCTCTCTACTGGGATTCTGTTATGTTGAGTATGAGACAAATATCACCAATAGTGGTGAATGATTGTTGTCTCAGATTGATTGAAGTTGGAAGTATAAATTAACCAACGGAAAATTAGCAGTCGTCGCAAAATCTAGATGGTTTTAGGCTCGACCGGTAGCAAGGTCTCCGATACAACGCCACATGCATCAACCAAATCACTCTTGATGGAGATGCTTTGGAAGGCATAAAAATGCTTTACCTATCTGGGCAGCATCTTTGACGAGCTAGGTGGATCTGATGAAGATTTGAAGGCGCGGATCAGAAAAGCAAGGAATGCATTTTTACAATTGAACAAAATTCACAACTCAAAACAAATGTCTGTCAACAAACACGTCAAGTCACTTCTGCTATACGAGATGGAATCTTGGAGAACCACGAAAGTCATCATCCAGAAAATACAGGTGTTTAGTAACATCTGTCTATGCAAGATACTGAGGATCTGTTGGCCAGACACTATCAGCAATAGCTTACTGTGAGAGAAAACAAATCAGACTCCAACTGAGGAAGGAATAATGAAAGATCGTTGGAAGTGGATAGAACACACAGTGAGAAAATCACAAAACTGTGTTATACGACAAGCTACCACTTAGAATCCTCAAGGCCAGAGCAAGAGAAGAACATCGAAGAACCTATTACGCCGGGAGTTGGATGCAGACTCTGGAAGAATGAAGAGCAACTGAACAGAACTAGAAATGAAGTCTAAGGACAGAGTAAGTTTGGAGAATGCTGGTAATCGGCCTATGCTCCAAGTAAGTAAATAAGATATCAAGGTCACACATGTGCATACCAGATTGGTCAAATACATAAGTAATATACCATTACCTAGTATTTTATGCTTCTGAATAGTACTTCAATTCAACCAATTTCCAAATAATCCTTTAGCCTGAAATAATTCAGTACCAAATGAGAGTTGAAACATATCTTTATGCCAATACTACTAACAAACAATTATAGTAGTTTTATCTTTTATTCCAAAAAAATTCAACATACGTGTATATTTTTCTGCTAAACTAAATTTTTCTTGTTGACTAACAGCGGTATTGGAATTTTTAAAAATTATTTGACATTGATCAATCCATTCCAATGCTGTTTTCAATGATGTAATTGGTTGATTGATCAATCCCATTGGTAATAATTCACTAATGAATAATAATGGAGATTGAATTGATGAAGGAAAGTTGTACCAACTCATACATGGATGTTGTTTACATTTGTCATTGAGTTCAGCAATCAAATCTTTTTGTTTATTGCAGTGATAATAATAATATTGATGATCATTATCATAAGTGGGTCTACTTTGTATCATGGTATATGGGTAGATGTTTTTACTGTGCTATAGAAAAGAAACCAAATAGATATCAATGAGATACTTGCCTTAATTAAAAATGCGGTTCTTATTACTTATTCTTTTTTTCAAAATAGTATAGTGTTGGGGATGTTAGATCCCCAAAATTCGCTTGATCAATGCCTTATTTTGGTTTTCACGTTTGCCAGCATGGGCTGATCAGTTGACCTTGAGATTTCATTTCCCACCAAGAAAATCCATGGCTGTGATTGACCACTGTGTATTTTAGTGTGCTATTTTCTTAACTGCCTCAAGGACGTTTCTATGTTGAGTAAATAAACGAGAGTTTTATGCTTGATTGTATTGTGTGATTGCTGGGTGTTTGTAGAATATACTTTCTACGCTTACCAAGACTTCTGTTTTGCAGTTGGGGGATCAAGGTAGCCTACCTGGACGCTGGTAAAAGTCTCGTTCGCGTTTATCGACTAAGGTAAACTCGTAATACCCTCAAGCATACTAACTGACAAACCCTACAACTGGCGACGCATAAATAAA